CCAATCAGTGGGGGCACATACCGCCTCCCTAGCTACCAAGGCGTGTGGGTCCTGCCTTTTGGGCGCCAATTCTGACCAAGGTGATAGGCTAGTTCAACTATCTACTAGGGTAAACTGTAGTTCAATTGGCCACCTGTGTGTGACCTAGCATGACTATGCAGCTTTCTCTGTGTGTTACAATTTCATTGGCCACCTGTGCGTGGCCAGGCCCAACCACATGGCCTTTGCCCTTAAAAGCTAGTCTGTAAAGCAGAGAGGGGTCGCCCTCTCTGTAAGAGGCACGGCCCTGAATGTTCGGTTTGATTCTCAAAGCTTGGCACGAAATAAAGCTTTGCTTGACTTTCGCTTTGTATCAGTCTCGCTCCTTTAAACACGGACCCATTATTGGGGGACCTTTCAGGTTACAGATTCTCCTTGGGTATTTTTTGGCTGGACAGTTAGACCCAAGCTTTTCCTGTCCATGACCTGGGCCCCGAAGGCACCAAAGGCCTATTAGCAGGCCAGCCTTCTCTGTATACAAGACCCCTAGACCTGGGGTTAGCCATTAGCTTCTTCCTTCTTCCTTGACACCTTCTTTCCCATCAACCCGCAAGTTCCCAATCGCCAACATTCCCTTGAGAATGGCTGAGAGAGAGAAGGAAGCTACGCTTGGAAAGAAGATTGCTTTGTAGTTTATTTACACCAGAATGTAAGAAAAAGTAAGTTATTAACAATAATAAATAACTGGGGAAAAAAAAACACAAAACAGCCATAAAATGACACAGAAGGATGGCATGTGTGAGGATCAACTCTTGTTTGCTTGTAGTCGGTAACACTGTGCATTCCAAAACTTGGTCCTTCTGCAGTGGCAGTGTTATTTTGACTCAATATATGTAACTAATCAAGATCCCAGCTTGAAATGTAAACCCTAAAAGTGACACTTTGAAGCTACATTCAAGCGGCATAGGCATTAACAACAACTCAAAGAACCTCTTCTTGGTGATACACAGAAACTGAAGGGAGACTTGCAATTCAACAGACATGCTTTCAACTTGAAGCAAAAACATTGAGGTTTATCCCAAAGCACTTGTTAACAACAAAAGTATAATTAGTAACGGCATCTGACGAGTTCTTAGCATATTCACATTCTCTTATTGCACTAACTCCTAAAAAGCTCAAACACTTCTATTTCAAATGCAAACAGATTGTTTTGAAGGTAGAACACAGAAGAACCTCTGCATGTCAGCTCGGTGCTCTTGTTACATTTCAGTTTCAGCAAGAATGAAATGGTTTTAAACGATCTATTTATGAGCAATTGCAGTCACTAAACAGACTTTTTTTTTTTTTTTTTTAAGTTTCAAGAATTATGGCTCCAATGGCAGGTTGTCCGTCACCTAGTCTGCTGAGTCCGATGATCAGAAAGGGACTAAAACTATTCAGACTATTTTTCTCTATCGGATTATTTGAGTACACATTGTATGTGACTAAATTATACTCTGGCCCTTGGGAAAAGTAAAATTCCTCCTGATTGAAGCCAGCCAGTGACCTTGCTGTTTCTGAGCCACGATGAGATGCTAAATAAAGCAAAATTGAAAAATCCACATACATACATTATTAGCCTTGACATTTTCACGGAAAAATGACTTCTGAGAAGTGTCAGGATCTTTTCACTTAGGTCACCGTTTATTACAGTGTCTTGAAAGAAAATCACATCTTTCTTTTGGGCGTCTCATGTTTTTTAACTGTGTTCATTATCCACCCACTACTGTACTCTTTAGAAATTTATTTTCAAGGTCCAAAACACGCCTAATAAATACTCCCAAATTAAAACCATGTTCCCTACACACACGGACGCAAACCCAAAGCAGAAGGGTTTATAAATGAGTTCGCCAATGAACGCCTATTGTTTTGGTTATTACGTGGTAACTGAAAAAAGTGTCACAGGCTCCTTGGTTGTCATGCTTTTCCTTTGCTTTGTTTTATTTCAGTCCAATAGCAGGAAAATGAAATGGCCTCCAGAGCTCACCTCAGATAAAGTTAATGCAGTAAAAACACCAAGACCTTCTTACCCTGGGAAAGCACACAGCCAAAGTAACGACCCTGTATTACACTCAATGAAAAACACGGGGCCATTTCGTAATTTGAAATCCATCCAAAGTAATGACATCTACGGTCACTTTGATGGTCTCCACTAACACCAGAGATGAAGATGGGATGAATGTATGTGTTATTCTATGGATTATTTATTTTAATTTGGCTACCAGAAACTTAAAACTGGTGGCATCTGATTCACTATATTTATATATATATACAGGTATAATACAATTTTGGTGAACAAAGTTGTAAGTTTCCACATTGCAGACAGAGGCACTGAGTTAAAGTTTCTATTTTTTTCCCCCAACATGCTTAATGAATTCAATTTTCTGCTTTTTTTTTCTTCTAAGTTTCCATCATGCAACCATTTAATTTCCATCCTTATGGGAATTATTAATGTTCTACATACACATTCATCGCAGGCTTCTATCCCACAATAAACAAACTCATGTATGGAGAATATGAAAAGAGACTTGAAAATCAAGACAGATAAAATATCGAAGTCATTTATGCCTTGTGATGACTGGATTAAATATTCAAAGCAGCTAAAGGAATATTTGCACCCCCCACACCCCGTTTAAATGCACACAACCACGTGTAGACAGGAAAAACTGAACATACTTTAAGAGTACACACATTCGTTGGCTACGAATCACACTATCATTGACAGCTTTGAAATTGATGTCTGTGGTATTGAACTGGCTACAACAGAAAGAAAACTCACAGAAGGAAATCCGAAATTAGCTTTCACAAGCATACAGCGTCCTTGACCTCGAGAGCAGAAGCTACTTTACAAAAAAGAAAAACGGCAATGGTGTTTAATGGGAAAACTAGGTGCCAGATGTGTTTACAACCTGCACAAAATAAATCTGTTCTATGCAAAAAATAACAATCCCACCCCATCCTGATTTCAGCGGGCAAATGGTAAGCAAGGATGCATACTATGTCAGTGTCTTCTGAAAGGAGAATTTCATCTTCTAAAGCCCAACATTCTCATTAAGAACTACTATGTGGGGAGGGGACCATTGAGAAGTCCAAGGGGTCTGAGACGATGAAGATTTCCCACAAGCAGAGATCGTGCTACTATTCCATGCAAAGATCGCTTACTACGGAGCCGTCGTTCTTAGAGAAGAGAGATGCACTGTCGACCTAAACTATTTGCAACTGGTTTCCTTTGAGTTCTGGATTGATTTATTTATGAAGCGACAGGTCAACCTGTAGATAAAGAAATGATCTTGACAGTCTGACGTAGGACTTAGAATACTCGGTGCTGGGTTCGTGGGACCAGCGCCTGCACCACGGGAGAGTTTGTCAATTTCAAAGACACTATGTAGCATGTGCTGAGCACTGAGAGAGAGAAGCAGGCAGGGTCCACTGGCTGAGAGGCTGTGTGGGAAGGAGGACATACTCCTTGGTTTATGTTGTTTCCTTTGGAATCTGTGTTTTGGGAAGGTCCCTTTCCTGAGGTTGGAGGTTATGGTCAGGAAGGTTAGCTGGGGCCTTGGAGTTGCCCAACTACCTTGTTGTCTTCCTCTCTTGGAGGACAGAGAGTAAATGCTAGATTCTGCTTGCCCTTCCTTCTGCGTTTAAAGGCAGTGAGGCGCGACGGTGGCAGTTTTCTCTTTAGATCAAAGGAGAGTTCGTTTTCTGCCACTTGGGTTGAATGATCTTACTTCCCGTCAACCTGGATTCTCACCTTGCATTACCACCACTTGCAGGAAAGAAAGCTAGACAGAGGATGTCTCTTCCGGCTCCTCCTTCTTACTCTACAAATAGGAATCAGCAATTTTGCTCCTTCTCTCCTCCCACTCGACAGTCTTTACTCCGCTTCCGCGACATTCCCAATATTTGGGGTTCAAGTAAGGGCAAGAGAATGACAGTCTTTTTTAAGGTCCAGTGATGGGCACTCTGTTCCAGGGAAATCTGGATGTTATTAAAAGTAAAAGCAGGAGGGGGATGGGAGACAGTTCTCTTTTTCAGGGTTCCCAAACCAGAAATCTGACAGTGTTAAAAGTCCTGTGAGCTTAGTCTACCCTTGAACGTCTTTGAATGGGCAAAGAGTCAACGAGTTCTACTCAATTAATTGCAAATACCGAGAATCTTAATGGATGATGTTTGTCTCACCTGGGCCTCTTGGTTCCTAAACCAAACCATCCCCAAATCAGTCAGTCATGGTCACATTCATCCGTGCAATTCTGAAAGATTTCTTAGGCCACAAGGGCACAAGGGGGAAAGTTATTAAAAGACAGAAACAAGTGGAATCTTTATTAAATTCTGTGAAAGGTATAAATCAGTTACTGTTAATTGCACTTGGAGCCACTATAGGTTGATAATTAAAATTCTCAAAAAATTTAAAGAGTTAATTAGGCCCCAAATCCTGAGTCAGACTAACCAAAATAGGAATCTCAATTAACTACTAGTATTCAAGTATTGGTGATGAACAGTTTGAAATTTAACAATTACTTATGTTATTATGCCTGAGAGTATTTTTGAGAATTTCAGGTTTGATGAGAAGAGATTGACTTCACTATTTTACCACACCTTCTAACACAGGGGCACAACATTTTCACTTATGTACTCTTGACATTCACACCGAGCTCATCAAACGCTCAACAAGGCTTCCTCCATGGTTTCCAGCTGCGGCTACTAAGATTTCTTCTGTCCTTTGCAAGTCTTACAATTTACATCTAGCAGGATGCAGGGGCATCCTTGGGGAATCCTATATGGGAAGGTACTTAACCACATGCACACTCAGAGATCGAAGGAACATGTTTGAGGGACAAAGCAGTCTTTTTCTCTATCAGAAGATTCTTAAAAAGAAAAAAACAAACCCAAATGAAAATATAAAACCCCATGAAATATTCATAGGAAGTTACTCTAATTTGGGCCGACATGGCTTTTCTGAAGAGTGTGTGCCAGGTAAATTCAGGGTGGCTCTTTTCTCAGGGTCTGGAAGTGTGAGAGTTTCTGGGGCTGACTTTTTCCGGGGTCGATCTTTGGGCACGGACAGAAAGTCTGGGGCGTCGGTGGACAGAGGTGTGGATGGGGCACTAGAAGGGGCGCTGCGGACCGAGGAAGGCAGCAGGGGGATACTTGAGATAGAAATCGCAGGTGGGAAAACGCCAATTTTCCTGTTGGTGGCTTCCTGAGTGGCTCGTTCAAATTCTCGGACTTCATCCATTGTCATGTCTTCAAAGAAAAAAAAAAATAGAAAGAAAAATGACCAGTTATTTAGGAGGGATGCAAATGGATATACCTCCATGCCTGATTTTAAGGGAACTATGGGAATCCTATCATAAAGAGGCCTGTCCAGACTAGAAACCCAAGTTATCACTGAAATGCTAAACCCTGAATTTTTTCTTTTTAAAGGCATAAACTGCTGGGGAAAAAAAAAAATTTCCTTTTATGAATATCCATCCAAGATTTTCCAAAGCACTCTTTGGGGAGTAGTGTAAGTATTCCGAATAAGGATCAGTCAGGAGAGTACAGAACCAGACCAGGGATGTGCGTGTGTGTGTGTGTGTGTGTGTGTGTGTGAGCTGTGGGATGGTGATATATGGAGCTATTTATTAGAACTAGTCATATTTTCCATAAAGGCAGGCTAGTTCAAGCAATCGATGGCCCAGAAATGATACATATTATTACCTACTTCAGGGTATGCAAGTACAAGTACACCTTGAGACGGGAAATAGGCAAATCATTGGAATTTCTTCTTATTCAGTAAATACATTTTTTTGTATTCTGGGCGGTTACTGGTTTCCTGACTGTGTACCCACCCTGAGATTGTTTAAATGTTGTATTTTAATTAATTCAGCTTAAAAAACAAAGAAGATAATGACAACAACCACAAACCCTGCAAATTATCCCAAAGCCAAGAAAAATAAAACCATCTTTTTAAAGAAACATAAAAAAACCCTAAAAACCATTATTTGGCATCCAGGAAACAAATTCAGTGGTGCCTCATTAAGAGAAACTGTCGGGTGATGTAGATTTTCTAAATATCTAAAAATGTTTTTATTAAGTGAGAAAGCAAAAAATAGACACTTTTAAAAAATGTAAATCTTTCCCTAACTTCTTTATTTTTAAAAAAGATTTTATTTTTAAGTAATGTCTACACCCCATGTGGGGCTTGAACTCAAGACCCCGAGATCAAGAGTCTTGCGCTCTTCCGACTGAACCAGCAAGGAGCCCCTCTAATATACTGAATGTACTATATACACTTGCTACCCTTTAGAAATAATATACTGAAAATATATTAACACTGCAATGACTCCTCTACCAGGGCCTATTTTTTTTTTTATAGTTTGAGATCTCTTCTCTTATTCTCAGAAACTCTATTACTGTGATTGTCCTTACTATTGTTATGGTTCTTAATCACTCTCTGGCTAACCCTGGTATCCTTTGTCATTTTTATGTACTGGTAACTGGGAGAAAACAGGTAACTGGGCTTATTGGAAAAAGCACTGAGTGAAAGCCCAAGGGTTTGTCCTTGAGTAGAAGGGGACATCTGCTGTCCATGGATTTTCTACATGAATTTTAGCTTCCCACAGACCCATTTTTCATTCTCGTCCTCTCCCACGAACCTAGTGGTGGAACCTTCATGAGATGATATCGCAGAAGCTAACATGAAACAATATGTCCACTTTGGAAATATTAACTATGGAATGAATATTCATAACATGATTTTAATCATTAGGATATATATAATACCTATAAGGTCATATTATAAGCAAGCCAGATATATTTTTCTTTTTATAAATTTTCAATTTAAATTCAATTTAGTTAACATATAATGTTTTATTAGTTTCAGGGGTAGAATTTAGTGATTCATCAGTTGCATATAAAACTCAGTGTTCATTACATCAAGTACCTTCCTTAATGCCCAACACCCAGTTACACCATCCCCTCCCACCCCCACCCCATCTTCCCTCTAGCGACCCTTGGTTTGTTCCCTGTAGTTAAGAGTCTCTTACGTTTTGTCTCCCTTCTGTTTTCACCTTAATTTATTTTTCCTTCCCCTCCCTGATGTTCATCTGTCAGAAATATTTTTAAAAAACAAAATCCGTAAGAGGATTTCTTGGAGCAATTGTTAAAATTTTATGAGAGGAAAAATTTTTCTTACGAAGGAAATAAAATATGATTGTACTGATATCATATACAATTTAGAATGTAACAAGAAAAATTGCACCTATAAATTTGCCACTTTAAAAATACTGAGACTCTTAACAAGCTAAGAAATGAAATTAGGTTTTTAAAAAAGAAGTATGCACTTTAAAGTAAAATTGAGACTCTCAGAAAAATTTCAGTGAATGGGGTATGTTTCTGCTATAATAAATAAACATCTTTGAAAAATTAGACTTTCTACGCAAGTGGCAGGGTATAATGCTCTACTCCACATATCCAGCAGGGGGCAGAAATCATCCAAAATACAGAATTTCGATTTTACATTCCCAGAGTCTCTTAGAAGTTCCCTTCCTTGAAGGCACGGAAACTGCTCAATGGAAAAGGAGACTTACTTTCTTACTGCTATGTTCATGGGTGTTAATTTTGCATAATTTCAATCTAGTGTGTCTCTACTCAGGTTGAGGATTTAAATTTTATTGAACACCCACGCAGTTCGCATTTGTGATGGACAGCAGCCTCCTGATTCCAACTGTTTTTCATTACGATAGTGAAGAAAGACAATGGAAAAATAAATGATCTCCAATTTGATGGAATTCCAAAGAATAAGGGAAATGTCGTAAGCACTCAAAATAACCACTTTGTGTAACTTCTAAGGAGATAGGCATCTCTTACACTGAAGTCATGGGAACGACAGTGAATTGCAGCCAGAGAATGCATGGGGCTTTCCCATGGGAGAACCACTCTAGGTACCACTGTCTACATAGTAAATTGACTTTCTAATGGTAATAATGGCAGGAGAAAAACCAAACAAAGAGCCCGAAGCTAAAAACCGTAAGAGCTTAGAATGAGAAAAGCTGGGCGCTTAGAATCTTTTGGAATGTGGCGTCTCCCCCTTTCCTCTGGCTTCTTTTGTCTGATCACATTTCTAAGCAAGCAGCCTTCAGAGGGCTGCTGACGGAGAACTAGAGTCTAATATTCCAAAAAGAAAGGGAATTGAAAATGATGGACTTCCAAGGACAGTTTCCTTAGGGAGCATTTCTAACATTAGAACACGGATAGAGGGAGAAGGGAAGTCCTTTTGGCACGGGCCTGTGTACAGAGAGAAACGACACCCCAGGTAAGTTGACTCTATAGCTTTCCGCAAATCCAATCACTACATGCACATGGGGAGGAAACGTCAGGACCACGTGAGCCTCAAGGGTAAGTAAGCCACATGCACTTGAGCCTTGCAGGGCACACTCCAAATACATGCTCTAAAAACCAAACCGACAACTTCCGAAGTGCAACCAAAAAGATGGTCGCAATTCTAAAGCCCCCATTTACAACTATAGCCCTTGCTCAATCGTCTTTACCTACATTATCAACTTCTTAAAAATCCAATAGGTTCTGTTCTGGGACGTGGGCTAGCAGGACATGCGGGCTCAAGCTGATACCCAAAGAGGCCAGAGCACTGGCCAAAGACACATACAAATGACTTGATGCCCCATTTTCTCTGCTATCTTAGTTCCTCTTCATTGGCATGAATGATTGAGAGATAACTATATTTAAAATGCTGGCATGCACCAAACAGTCAGCTCTCAATTTCCAACGTGCCACTACCTAACCCGTGGCTCTCTCAGTCTCCTGCTGAGTCTCAGGCTGGAGATGCTATGTGGCCCAGCACGTTCGCAGTTCACCGCCCCTCACTGCTCAGCCACTCAGCGCACCCATGGGCTGCAGCCCCGTCTTGAGACTAACCAAAGCAAAAAGGATCAGATTGGCTAGAACAGCTATAAAGAGGCATAGAAAGCATTTCAAAGCAAATGTAAAGAAATCTAAAACACCAGATGAGCCACAAGCTGTCCCTTGAATGAATAACTCGAGCCTTAACCGTATTTTTTAAAAAGTTATGGTCACGATAACTAGTTTTCAGATGACACCTGTTTTGTCCCCTCCTCTTTTCTTTCCCGGTGCAGGCCACTCACCAGCCACAAATGTTTCCACTCTCCATGTTCTTGGGTTTTAGGAGAGGAAAAACCAACCCCGAAATCAAGTGGCGCCTTTAAGAACTGAAAAATCTAGAAGCAAGAGGTGGCACTGTCCCGTTTAGACCTAGCTCAGGCTCTTCACCAACAGCCCCTGGGTGACGACATGATTTTGTGTGGCATGTTGAGAAATGAACGTCTGCAGTATTTCAAAGATCAGTTTTAAGTGTACGTTTGGTAAAGGGTGGGCAACATGTTTTAAAAATTCTACATACACTTGTTTGGGCATGGCTCTCTATGTCATCCACAGTGGAGGAATGCTGATTGCAAACTTTTATGTTGGTTTGTTCATGCATGTTTTTCTCGTATTCCCGAACATCATCCATTGTCATATCTGCAAAAAGGTCAAGACGTTGGTAACTACTGTTATTAAACGCAAAATTTCAACAGGGAGACTTTAGGGAAAGACGGTAGCAGAAGCCAAAGAGAGGTTTCAAAAAGCAGGGAATTACACTAACTTTATGAAGAGGACGTCATAAAGTTAGCTAAACCAGCCAAAGGGGGAAGTGAGTGCAAGGAAGTTAAGTCGAAACAGTCTCGGAACAGCGAAGAGTGGAAATTATTTAGGCGTGGGGCTTGTAAAGTGAGCTACATGGATGGAGAGTATTAGCACGCGGGCAGTGCCATAGCCCGAGATCTCCTAAAACATTCTTAGAAGATCCCGACGGGGACAGGGTCAGGTTTGTTTGCTTTCATACTTACCTTCCAGACACCCTTCAAAATAGATTTGGAGATTGTTTAAATCAATGCACTCGACAAGAGAAAGGACACTTTCATTGCTAGTACTTGAGACATGACAGAAGGTAGACCCGTGATGTTTACAGGTACAAGGGATATTTGGTTGCAAAGCTCACACGGAGATGGATTTCTGCACAGGATTCTAGTGTCAGAGAGTGCGGGTCTATATCGAACTTCAAGTCTAGTCTAACAGCTTGGAGATGGCTGGCACTACTTCCACCCACACTGATCTATAAATAAAATGGCACATGACATTATGATTTTGGGCGTTGAGTCTGTAGTTTTTCAGCATTTCGGGATAATGATGTCTTCTTCATCCAGTGGTTCCCAACAGGGGACTATTTTGTAACACCACTGGCATGGTAGAGCTCCTGGCATCCAGTAGGTAGGGGTCCAGTGAGGCCTTGGAATAACCTACCTATGCCCATTCTCAACAGGGAAGTAGCGGGTCCAAAACGTCAATGGTGCCAAGGTTGAGAAACCCTGTCTAAACCCAACTGATGAAAAACTGTGTTCAACAAAGAACCCACCCATCTTCAGTATACGAAATGCATACGAATAATAATGATTCTCCCTTGAACTACGTCTGCTGATTTATCATCCACTCCCCACCCACCCTTTGGTTATTTACAACATTCTATCCGCAATCTTCCCAGACAGACATTCCTCTGTTGTGGTCATGGCAGAATTAAACGTCATGCCTTTCTACAAGGAAGGGATGCTTGAATAATTGGTTCTTTGACCACCCTGATCGCGAATTAGCTTGGTGGGGATTTAGAGTGGGTATTCACAGCTGGAAATTTTTCCTTAGGTATTTCCAGAGTCATGTGGTTTGGTGTCTTTTTATATCAATCTATGTATGTCATGTGAGCGTCTCTTCACTTCTACAGGGCACACGAGCCAGAACTTGATGACTCAGTTCAGTGTGGTCTGGGGCCAAGAGGGAGGGCGGCTCTAAATCCAGACCTGGACTATTTTATTTAGCCCATGATCCCCCCCCCAGCCCCGAATCCCCAAAAAAACCGTTGATCACAAACGTTGTCCATAAGCAATGTAAGTATCAAGGGTGCTAAGCAGCGGTCTAGCCAAGCAAAGAGCATGCTTTTTGTCGAGGTAACTGGAAAGCAACAAACACATGCTGCTTTGTAATTAAGATAAATGTATCTTAGTTAATAATAAGAGCATATTCATTCAATGCAATCACTTTAATTCCAAAGGCTGGTTATCAAAATTTCCTAAACACAAATACACCTGGAAAGAATACTGAGGTCATTTTTAAGCCCAAAGTTTAAGAACTAGAGAAATTTCTCTCTCTATATGTTCATTAGACACTTTCTCCCTCTCCGTTTCTCTCCCCTGCCCCCCCCCAACCGGCATGACAATAATTTGGAAAATGAAAACAAAGGCATTTTAGTTTCTTTGTTCTAGTGAATCCCAACAGAAATCATTCTTTATCTTTAATTAGCTCAATGTTAAGAGAAGGGCTTAAACTGTGTGGCGGTGTGCTTTCAAAGATGTCTCAATTTTGTAAATGTGAAGAAGGATTTAACAACAAAGATAGTCATTACTACCAGTTCATAACGGTGAGAAATAGGAAAGAACCAGGAGACGGACAGTACTATGAAACCATTAAAAAATGATATAGAAGAATACTTAACACTACAGAGAAATGTGCTTGGCATATTATTAAAAATAGGAGGTAAAACAACCATATACATTATACTAAACCATCTCTGCCAGAAAATAATTTTATACATTTTAAAAAGACTAAAAGGATACACTGTAAAATATTAACAGTGATTATTTCAGGGAGTTGGAAATATAGATTTCATTTTCTTCCTTTTGTGTTTTCTACATCAAATATGTTGTACTTGTTTAAGAATGAAAAAAAAAAAACACCTTATTTAAAAATCTATTATTTGGGGGGCACCTGGCTGGCTCAGTGGGTTAAAGCCTCTGCCTTTGGCTTGGGTCATGATCCCAGGGACTAGGATCGAGCCCCGCATTGCATTGGGCTCTCTGGTAGGCAGGGAGCCTGCTTCCTCCTCTCTCTGCCTGCCTCTCTGCCTACTTGTGATCTCTGTCAAATAAATAAAACAAATCTTAAAAAAAAAATCTATTATTTGGGGTGCCTGGGTGGCTCAGTGGGTTAAGCCTCTGCCTGAGGCTCAGGTCACGGTCTCAGGGTCCTGGAATCGAGCCCCGTATCTGGCTTTCTGCTCAGCGGGGAGCCTGCATCCCCCCCCCCCCGACCGCTCTCCCTGCCTCTCTGTCTACTTGTGATCTCTCTCTGTCAAATAAATAAATAAAATCTTTAAAAAAAAAATCCTTAAAAAGATCTATTATTTGGGGTACAATAACAACAGTTTGGAATTGGTAAAGAGAAAATATAGTTTTCTAGAAACTTGGCTCATTCCAGAAACATGACTTTTTTTTTGGGTTAAAATGGAAGAGTTATGAAACAAAGTTTCAGAAATTTGCATCTAAAAGAAAAAATCTCCCAATTAGACCACATAAGAACGAACATTTCTAGTAAGCTGATTCTCTAAGGATGGTGATAATCTGGTCTCTACTAAGGAAGGAAATGATGTTGATCTGAATCCTCAGTTCTCCCCATGTATCATGCATGCTTACGGAAGTGATGTAAATATTTCCAATATTTCTTAGTAATTCATGGAAAGCTTAATCAAGTGAAAATATTTCTGTTCAGATGATCAGGTAAGACACATTATGTCTTGCTTCTGCAAAGTGTATTACCTGAAATCCATATAGGAACCAATTTTTTAGCAAATTCAATTGCACTGCCCAATGACAGACTATACTTTCAGAGATGATTCATCTTCATTATGGAATGATTTTCAATGACCAGAGAGTGACTTCTCACAGTTTTGGTCCAGACCTTTCTGCTCCCAGCAAACAACTACTTATGTGCCATCAAAGAAACTCTTCAAGGAAACTTACGTCCATTATTTTGCAAAGAAACTAATAAATAATCATCCCTTAGTATACAGATTTGAAAGGTCATAATTTACCTTTCAGAAAGAAGGTTTCTCAGATAAAAGCTTTTAAACAAGGAACTCCGGGCAAATTCGCTGATTTAAGAGAACACTGTAACTAGTACGATAGGTCTACATCATAGGATCTTTGACACTGGGCTGTTGGAGGCTACTGCATCTTTATTTCTGTATCTATAACCAACATGCTCAGCACTGGAAAATATGCTGGGGGCAGGGATGCCCTCCTCATTACACTTCAGTGGCATATGATTGCCTTTCTTTACCCTCTTGTGAGCCTGTTTCTTTCCTTCTCTTTCTTACCCTCCTTCAGATGAGGGGAGAGCTCATTTCTCCTGCTCCAGCCAAGCGCAGGTCACGTGGCCTAGGGAGACCCTCCTTGGACAGGTGACTGGGCTGAGTAGGGCACCTCCACCTCTAATACCAGTCCAGCCTTGTCCAAGAAGCCCTGGGGGATTTGTTGAGGAATCTGCTATGATTTGATTTCCTCAACCATGAACTAAAAGTTCTTTTCTTTTTCTTCCCTTCCTCCCTTCCTCCCTTCCTTCCTTCCTTCCTTCTTTCCTTTCTATCAATCTATGCATCTACCTATTTATCAGAGAGAGAGTGTACAAGCAGTGGGAGAAGCAGGCAGAGGGAGAAGCAAGCTCCCTGCTGAGCAACGAGCCCAATGTAGGACTCAATCCCAGGACCCCAGGATCATAATGTAAAGCCAAAGGCAGATGCTTAAGAGGACTGAGCCACTCAGGCATCCCTAAAAGCTTTCATTTAAGAACAAAATATACTTCCACTCTATGAGTCTTGGTCGGCTTCCCCCATTTGCTGCCTTTTTTTTTTTTTTAAATAAAATACAGGTTTCGGTGATTATTTATTGAATCCCTCAAGTTAATGCATACATTATGTTCCAGAGAAAGAATTCAAATAGTACTGATTTTTACTGAGAAAAGAGCTTAATTCCTTTCAACGTCTCCCACTAATCCTATTCTTTCTGGATGTAACCACTGTTAAGAGTTTGATTTACAGACTGCCAGAATTTTTTTCTACGAATTTACATGTATATTACTGCATACACATACAGTCTCATTTATTTTTAAATTTATGGAACCATACTATGGTATACTAACCCATTTTTACTATTATATGTATTATATTATTATATGTCTTTTTTACTTTTTATTTCTCAGTTTTAAAATATATTTTTAAAGTTTTATTTAAGTAATCTCTACTTAACGTGGGGCTTGAACTCACGACCCTTAGATCAAGACTCACATGCTCTACTGACTGAGCCAGCAGGGTGCCCCTAGAACTACCTTATTCTTTTTTTTTTTTTTTTTTTTTTTTTTTGACAGACAGAAATCACAAGTAGCCAGAAAGAGAGACAGAGAAGCAGGCTCCCTGCTGAGCAGAGACCCCCGATGCGGAATTCGATCCTAGAACCCTGGGATCATGACCTGAGCCTAAGGCAGAGGCTTTAACCCACTGAGCCACCTAGGTACCCCATGTGTTTATCCTTTTTATAGGGACTGTTTTTTTGTTCTCCCACCTTATCCAAAACTGGATATTATCACTATCTTAAACTTTT